GTAGGAAATAGTAGGGGTCATCCTCGATGATGAGCATGTCGTACTGCCTGGCCAGCTATTAAAGAGAAGAGAGGTTTAAATAAAAAACAACAGAGTGAATCTGCAGGGAAAGCAGCTTTACAACAAGCTGTAATTAGCAGAGTGCACGCTTCACTGGTTTGCTTTGTACAACCGTGACTCAAGAGAGTCAAAATCTGCAGCGTGTGCATGTATTTATCTCACTGAGTATGACTTTGGCGAGGACTTACCTCATACACTTCCTTCTTCCTCTCTGCTGTCATGGAGGCCCCGGTGGGGTTTCCTCCATTAGGGATAGTGTAGAGGATTTTGGGAGCGGTGCTTCCGGGCTTGTGGACCTCTGACGGATCCCACCGGGACAGGACTTCCTTCAGGGCTGCAGGTATCATGCCATGCTGATCGCTGGGAACGTTTATCAAGTTGCAGCCGAGAGGATGGAGCTGCACAGGAAATGAGAGCGTCAGGTGGTCGCAGTGCTTCGTGTCACAATGTTTGTGTTGTGCAGAAGAAAAATGCTCTTACTGCTGCGAGCGTGCCCGAATACGTGGGCGCATCCAGAAGAACATTGTCTCCGGGGTTGACCAACATCTCAAACACCTGCACCAAAACCAGCAAACACACGAGGTTAAGACACAGGCTGTGAATGTTTTCCTTGACATGAAAAACTGCTATAATAAATAAAACTATATTAAAATATAGAGATTCTTACTTTAAAGCTATAGCTTAAGGGTTTCAGTGGGTCTAAGCTGTTCAGCTGATGTCAGATGGACAGGTAAATCTACAGGTGGTGGTGTCAGTACCTTGCAGAGCCCCTCCTGGCTCCCCGTCGTCACACACATCTCCATCTGCCCGCTCTCAGGGCTGTAGCTAGCAGTCGGCGGGTTGTGGAGGTTCTTCTGCAGGTTTTTCATCCATGTCAGCAGCTCAGGTATTCTACGCATTGAGGAGAAATCAGGTGTTTCCAAGACAAATCTATTTTCATAAAATAGTAATCTGTTTTATTTTCACATAAATACTGCACATGTCTGCATGAGCGTCTGTCTTAATCCTCTATTCCAAACTGAAATGCTGTTCTGAAGACTGTCACAAAGCAGTGACCGATTCTGTCGTCTGGATTTCTCACCCATTAGAGGCGGAGTACTGCAGAGCTCTCTTCATCGCCACCTCATCGAAGGTGACTGTCTGCCCGTTCTTCACCGTGATGGACGCTGACTGGAAGGGGAAGGTGTTGGGGTTAGGAGCTCCTCCGGCCAAAGAAATCAGCGATGGAGGTGACCGCTGCTGCAGCTCAGCTTCATATGGGATCATAGAGAGAAGATGATGAGAAAACCTTCAGCTCAGCCTCCTGTCTTTTATTCAGTTCCACCGTCTCACCAAACCATACATCACAGCATCACTACCATCTTGTAAACCTTCCCTTTTACTCTTGCTGCTATCTTTCTGTCACAAACCACCCCTGATATTCGTCTCCACCCGCTCCAACCTGCCTGCACTCTCCTCTTTACTTCTCGTGTGCTGTCTGTTGCTTTGCATGGATGACTCCAGGTGTTTAAACTCATCCACGATCACTACTTCTACTCTTTGCTGTTATACTGGTCTCCCTCTCATTTACACACATGTATTCTGCCTTGTTTCTCCTGACCTTAATTTCTCGTTTCTTCAGTGCATATCTCCACCTCTGCAGGCTCTCTATCAACCTGCTCCACACTCTCACTACAGATCAGTGTCATCTGCAAACATCAAAGCCCACACAGATTCCTGCCTGACCTCATCTGTCAGCCTGTTCATCACCACTGCAAGCAAGAAGGGGCTCAGAGTGAATCCCTGATGTAACCCCACCACCATCTTGAACTCCCCC